CTCCTCCTCCTCCTCCTCCTCCTTCTTCTTCTTCTTCTTCTTCTTCTTCTTCTTCTTCTTCTTCTTCTTCTTATTTTTTTGCTGTCAAGTCACATCTGGTTCATGGTGACCCCCTTTGGGTTTTCAAGGCAAGAGATGATCAGAGGTGGTTGCCTGCCTCTGTGCCACAGCCTTTGACTCCCCTGGTGGTCTCCCATCCAAGTGCTAACCAGGGCTGGTCCTGCTTAGCTTCTGAGGTCTGATGAGATTGGGCTAGCCTGGGCCATATCCAGGTCAGGGCAAGAGACATTCAGAGGTGATTTGCAACCCTACTCTTCCTTGGTGGTCGCCAGGGCTATTTTGGGGCAGGAACGCACAGGGACAGAGTTCCAGCTGGCTTCAGCGTTGGCCACACTCACTACAGCCAAAACCTCTGCGTGCCTGGAGAGTGACCCCCCCCCCGGCGACTCCAAGGCGGGCCGGCCAGGGAGGGCTCTGGAAAGGGCTGGCTTGCCGGGGCTTCCCACAGCCATGGGGCACCCGGGCAAGCCAGGGGGGGCTTGCTCGGGCTCCCCACAGCCGCGGGGAGCCTGGGCAAGCCAAGGGAGGGCATGGGGTGTGGCCTAATATGCTAATGAGCTGCACTGTCAGGGGTGTGACCTAATATGCTAATACGTTTCTGCTGTTGGGTGTGGCTAATTATGCTAATGAGTTCCTGCTGGGCTTTTTCTACAAAAAAAGCCCTGGTTGTCGCCCATCCAAGTCCTAACCAGGGGTGATCCTGGTTAGCTTCTGAGATCTGAGAAAATCAGGACAGCCTGGGCTATCCATATCAGGGCATATAACATGCTAGGAGAAACATAATCACAGGCATTACAGCTGGATAGCTGAATGAAAGCAGGGGAATAGGAGCCAGGGTGCATCTAATTTTGTCGGAATGCCTAACATGAAATTGCTGCTCCATCGGACTCGAAATGTCAAAAACATCTCTAGGCTGGAACGATGTTTAGATATTCACAGCTGCGCCTGTATACAATTGTCTGAAACCAGTTCTGCCTTAACAAGTGGCCTGGAGGACACACATAAATGGAAATGTCAGCATCAATTTTGGTTGGGAAGCGGGGAAGTTAGTTATTGCCAAGAGAGAGAACACTGCAGCTAAGACCAACGCGAACGAATCAGTTATCAAAAGGGATGCAGCTAATTTTCATTTATTATTTGCACTTTTAAAAATATTGTTGTAAATTAACGCAGCAGGCGGCATTTCTACAAACACTCCTATCCTGCAGTTATTGTATGTAACACTGCAGGAGGAAAATCTTGGGGAAATCTCATTTTAGAACAGCGCACTCAGCATCTTATTGCACAATTCAGACAGCCATTGTCCAATTAAAAAAATTCAGCACAGTTCCATGCTTCTTACAGGGAACAGAAGGAAAAAAAGAAGCAGGGATTAGTTCAAGCAGTAAATCTCCATTGACTTCAGACACTAAATCGGCAACCGCTGTTCTGGCTTAATGAATTATGACCAGTATTTGACATAGATGTAGTCTGAGTGTTCTGTGCTTCCGAATCGAGGTTTGTCTGTGGTGTAGCCTTGTTTTCCTACCCCTAGGCAAAATAACACTTTTCTAGTTATTTGAAACAGCTATAGAACCCCTCAGCCTGTGTGCCTACAGTGGAGAGATAAAAACACCACGTACCTGTCGAGGTATTGAACTAAGACAATGTAAACAGGGAACATTTGTGAATTCAGCTTCGACTTCGCATTTGGGGAGGGGCTGTGGCTCACTGGCAGCAGATCTGCTTGGCACGCAGAAGGTCCCAGGTTCAATCCCCGGCATCTCCAGTTAAACAGAATCAGGGAAGAGGTGATGTGAAAGACCTCCTCCTGAGACCCTGGAGAGCTACTGCCAGTCTTAGGGTGTGTCCACACAGGCAGGTTCCTGCGGTAGTATCCCGTAGAGAAAAAAGCCGCTGGAGTTAGGTGCGCTTCACAGCATTCACACCGGTCCTGCAGCGCCGGCTGCATCGGGTACCCGGCCTATGAGGGCCGGTTGACATCGCTACCACACCACCAGCACGGAGCCATGGCTGATGCGCCCCTCTGATTGGTTGGGTTGCTGAAAACGGCATACTGCTGTGCTGGAAATGGGATGGCCGTTCACACGCCCCCTGTGCTTCCGTGGCACGCCCGGCTGATTAGATGCCGGAAGAGCCGCCATGGAAGCGCCTTACCCGGGAAACCATCAGATTTCCCTGGTAGCTTTTTAAACCGACGGGGAGTCGTTCTACCACAAGGTTTATTTATTTATTTATTTTATTATATTTATACCCTGCCCTCCCCGCAAACGGGCTCAGGGCGTGGGGACGGATGGCTGTCGGGTGCCAGATGTGTGCGTCTGATCATGCTGATTTGATCCGGAGGGGAGGAGTGACTGTGTCGGGGCAAACTGCCCGTGTGATCACAGCCTCAGTAGACAATATAAGGCAGCTTCATGTGTTCATTGTGGAAAAGAACAGAGGCTGTGTTCAAATGTATAAATAAGGTAAGAACACTGCAAGATTTGTCAGTACTTCATTGAGGCTAGAACAGAGTCCAGTGCCTGATTCTCTGTCTGTGTGACCCAGGAGTTTGCAACCGACAGTGGGAGCAGAATATGGTTCCTGCATCCGTCTTCCGAAACCGCTTCCTCAGACGGCACAGTTAAAATGATCTGGTTACTCTGTGCAAAGCTGCCGGCCATTTGTATACAGTACCTGGCAGTTTTGCAGTGGCGTTTCCTGTGTTTTAATTCGCCTGTGCAGGTCTCTCTCTCTCTTCTTTACAGATCAATGCAGTGCGGTCCGTTGTCCCTAACAAAAGCAACAATGAAATAGTGCTTGTGCTACAGCAGTTTGATAACAACGTAGACAGAGCTGTGCAAGCTTTTATGGACGGTATGTACCCTTTACAAAGATGTCCCATGTTTCAGGAAATGACAGAATCCCAGATGGCTTATTGTCTGTGTACGGCTGTAATTCTCAAACTTTATGAAACGGGACCCCCTTCCAATGCTCGCTCTAAGCTGTGGAGTCTTGTGAGCAAGAATTCTACTTTGTGAGCTACCGGCATTAAAGGTGTGAGCGAGCGATTTGGCTACTGCAGAAATTAGCTTGCTCTGGAGCCAGCCTTCCTGAGCTAAGACAAAAATGTGTGAGCTGGAGGCTAAAAAACTGTGAGCTAGCTCACACTAACTCAGCTTAGAGGGAACACTGCCCCCTTCTAAACTTGTTCTACTTTCCAGGGATCATTTGTAAAGAAATTCCATGCTTGCTTTCCCCTTCCTCAACATAAAAAGTAAGAATTGGACTCCAGTTAACACTGACTGAAGAAGTTTATGGTTTCGTTGTGGGGTGTTGTTTTTTTTTTAGTATTCATAAGTATGTAGCATTTTGTGGCCGTTTTGTACATTATGTGCAAAGGCAAACCCAAATTTGCCATCAAGCTGCCCAGAATTTCTGTTCAAGTTTACCTAGTTCCATCTCCTCCTTCCTGGGTGAGTGACCAACCAGAGAGAAAATTGATTGATTGATTGGATTTCTACCCCACCCTTCCAGCCAAAGCCGGCTCAAAATCACAACCTGCTTTGGGGTTCTTAGAATCGGTGAGCCAGTTTGGGGTTCTGATCCACAAAATTGAGAACCACTGGTATATCGGAAATGAAAACTATTGATGCATCGTGCTAAAATGTGAATGTCCTGCTTTTCCAAAGGATATAATGCTGTCCTCGTTAGCTTAATCTAAGGTTTTGTCCGAACCCTGCCAGTGCTCATTTCCGTTTCATCCTCCTTAGCAGACGGTGTTACCCAGCGTGTGCCAGTACCAACAAACCTCATATACATTGGGGCAACATAAACAGACTTAGTGCAGTTCTACTTGTTCAAGATCTTGTGCAACACCTAGTGCTTTTCTCTCTATAATAATAATATTATAGTGCCCAGAAATTTGTATCACGGTCCCTTATGCAAGCAGGAACACAAGTGGGATACAATTAAGTTCGACCTCACACAAGTGGCTGCCATAGGCTTTTTCTTGTAGCACCAGCAGAAATTTTGTGCTGGATCCAACCCACTGCATGCAGCTGTAGGAGGCTACTGCATAGAGATGGGTTGTAGCATTGGGGTTTTGGCCGATCATCTTCTCTCCTTTCCTTTTCTGCTACTTGTTTCTTCTGGTGTTTCCCCAGTCAGGTTTGCGATAGATGTGTATGTAGGTATGTAAATATACATGTGTGTTGTCTGTGCTTCACATATGTTGGAGGGTAAGACATAGAGCTGCCCTTAATTTGGGACCTTGGGGGTGGCAGTGCATTTCTCTACAAAGAGTGTAGTGTAGTGCTTAGATCAATTAATGGCTTAGCAGACATGGTGAAGAAATTGGCAGCAGACCATGGAATTAATCTCATGTTTCCTTTTCATGTCTCCTCTAACGCTTGGGAATGAATTCCCCATACAGACCAGCCTTAATTGTGGCTTAGCACATTGCAGTTAACCAAAGTTAATGCTAACCAGATTACCTCTTAGCCCAAAGCTATCATGTCAGACTCTGGTTAATGTATGGGAGTGTTCTATGGGTTACTTCTGTGCTGTCACAGTAAACACGCACTGTCATCAGTACATCTTTTTAAGGCGTATTCATTCTCCAGCTAAGCTTTTGACTCATTGATTAAATAGTCTTAAATCCAAACTTAATTGGTTTGGGTATTAAGCTGGATAGTCAGATAGTCCAAAACTACCAAATATACAACTTCTCTTGTATACAGTGAACAAAAATATAAATTGAAATGCCAAGCATTTGACCAGGTCACTCAGCGATGAAGAGGATTCCCCCATCCCTGTGACCCTTAACTTGTTCCCCACTATGGGGCACCCACTAAAGCTTGTGCTTCCTATCCTTGGCTCTCTTGGTCCGCTCTCATGGGGCTGGCCTTGATGCCAGCAAGGTCATAACTCTGGCTTCTTCCTGTCCCTGACATGTGACTCTGGTGTCATGTGTTTGCCCAAGTTTGGAAAGGCTGAAGAACACTGCTGCAGTACACTTCACAATAACGTTACAATTACAACTAGCAATAAGCAGCAGGGTATGTTCGTGTGACGAACAGGTTAAGTTCCGCCTCTCCCTAAGAGCGGCCAATGAGAGCTGATGGAATGCCGGTGAGACAGTTGAAAACAGCCGTTAGTTCAGTTGGGAGTGAGTTTGGCTCAGTGAAGTTGTGGAGAAGAGCAGCTTAATGCTGACTGAAGAAAAAGTCACCTTGTAACAAAGAACCCCAAATGCTCAGATAGGGAAAATAGTTCAAAGGTGCAATTGAAAAGCAACTTTGTAACATCCACCTGAACTACTCCAATGTTATGTTCAAACCAGAAATAAAAGTTAACTCCTTGTTCATTTAACCCTGTGAGCTGTTTGTTTCAAGGAAAGAAGCACACGCATAAACAAAGATATTGGCCTCAGTATAAATGTGTATATCAGGGTATGGATAAATGGCAACAGCGTGTGAATGAAACAAGTGTTTGAGTCCCCAACTGCAATAGTTCTGTGCAGTGTCTGAGTGAAGGGTGATTATTAAAGAGGACTGGGCTACTTTGCTTGGTGATGTCTCTGTGGGTGAGAGAGAGAGGACATGGGATGTGAAATGGTCATGGCTCCTTGTATATTTTAAAAGAGGCAAGACAGGTGGTGAAGTGTAACTGTCTGACCTACCTGTAACACCAAACCTGTGGGACAGAAGTTGTGGAAGGTGGCAGGCAGTCTGAGCGAGTGAAAAAGGCCACTGCAGTTTGGTTATAAAAAGGACCATGTTTCTCCTTCCTGAGGGCAAGGAAATCTAGTCCAGCCCCTCTCTACCTGACGAGTTTTCTGTTGGAAATATGTGCGTGTTGCATGGTCTAATTCAGTCATTATAGAGTTAATCTGTTTACCTGGTGTGCTATTGTTTAGACTGACCTGGAAGGGAAATCTGGCTCAGAGCCAATGGGGTAAAGGCCCAGGAAATCTAAGTCTGTTTAGTCACAATCATTGGTTAATGCATTCAGGTGATTTCCTTCTAGGGGTCAAGAAGAATAAGAATCTCCATTGCTGCTGTTGCTGTTGTTGTTGTGAGACCGTGTGCTTGGTCTGTCCTATAGCTGTAGAGATGTAGCCTTAGGTCTTTGTTATTTTGTAGCTTTTCCTGTGTACCCTTCCCTTAGAAATAAAGATTTTTACACAGAAAGAAATGCCTCCTCTCCAGTGAAGCAAAGACCCTTTGCAAACTTTGAATATCTGAGTATTTTTGCCAATTTTTCCAACATTTTCATCATGTGTTTCTGTGTCTGTTAGCCTACAAACACCTGAGTAATGACTGACACATGCACTACCCATTGAGGGTTAATTGAATGTAGGTCCCTCCATGCAGCTTTATGTCTTTGGCATAAGTTGAGTTGATCCAGTCATGACCTTCCATTACAATGTCACACATAAATCACTGTCAGCTTTCATATAGTAGTGAGCTGTACAAATACAGCCAGGAGAAGGTTTTTTTTTTAAAAAAAAAATCCCCCACATCAATCTTCAGTGTCCGTGGAAGAACAAGTGTTTTTGTTTTTACAAATCTTCTAAAAAACCTCTACAGAACCAATTTGACAAGCATTGAAAGAATTCCATAGAAAAGCCCCTACCATGGAAAAGTCTGTGCTCCTTGAGGTTGTCAGCATAGCCTCTGAAGGCTACCCAGAGAAAAGTGTGCTGCGTTCACTCCACTCTCCTGCATAAATCCGCAGATGTCTCTATGCTCTGTAATTAACTAGGCTCCTAAACGGCTGTCGTCCAAAGCTGTCTGCAGACAGCTGTGCAGGTAGCAAACAGTTACGATTTCAAGACACGGGAGCCAAAGGAAACAAAATGCGCCATATGGTGTCCTAAATCATGATTTGCTATGGCTGTGGTCACACTGGCAGCTTGGTCCGATATGGTGCCGCCTGTAATTGTACCGGTTTAAAGTGGTGCAGGGGATATCATCCAGACAGCACACCCTCCTGCCCCACACAGACATCCTGTGGTCAAGCATCCACATTACTGCAGTGCCTCAGCCACAGAGTGCGCTACCTGGTCGTTTTTCAAAGTGCATATTTATTTATTATTTGCATGTATATCCCGCCCATCCTGCGGGCGGGCTCAGGGTGGGTAACATCATTGAGATAAACATAATTTCAATTTAAAACATTAAAACACAATAAAACATTATAACAATTAAAACAATGGGTACAGCTTGGAAGAACATAAGTTGGCTATAAAGTTCTGGCCTGATGGTACAATGGGTTAAAGGCCCGTTGTCGGTGGTCAGCAGACAGGTGACAGACGGGTGACAGCAACCTCAGGGAGGCCATAGATGGGCGCCCGCTGCCTCAACCATAGGCTCAATTCAAAAAAACCTCACTAGGAGCAGGAACAGGTCTGTGAGATAGACTGCCAAATCTGTTCTGCACATGCTCCCCTGCATTCCCCTGCATGCTCCCCATGCGCAATGAATGCGTGGGGAACCAAAAACGCCACTTGTGATGTGGTGCCTTTTTAACTTGGCTCCAAGTCGTCCTACAACGGGATGAGTATGCTGAGGGAACGCCTGACAGATGTGGCTGTGTGACTGCCCATTTGATCCAGAGGGGAGGGGTGGCTGTGTTGGGCCAAACTGCTCATGTAATCGCAGCCTATGTCTTCCCTGCTCTCCAGTGTGGTAGACATAGGTTGATAGGACCCGGATACCACTGCACAGTAAGAATTCTCACACAGTAAGAATAAAAACTCAGATATTACCAAACCCGTATGTTCTCTCAAGAGCACTACGATAGTACTGGATTCACATCTCGTTATTGCATGCAGAACACCATGGCTGCCCTCGGAAGAGATCCAGAGAAAGTCTCTCTCTGATGCAGGTGACAAAGAGTGGGGAGAGGCCGTGGGCTTCCCCGACACGTCTGGCTGGCTTTCTGTTGGAAGCAGGGTGCTATCTCAATCCGTGTTCCCTCTAAGTATAGTTAGTGTGAGGTAGCTCACAGTTTTTTGGCCTCCGGCTCACACATTTTTGTCTCAGCTCAGGAAGGGAGGGCTCCAGAGCAAACTACTTTATGCAGCAGCCCAATCGCTCGCTCACAACTTTAATGTCAGTAGCTCACAAAGTAGAATTTTTGCTCACAAGACTCCACCGCTTAGAGGGAGCGTTGGTCTCAGTGAACCTTTCAGTCTGATTTAACAGGACAGTCTTTTTGTTTTTTTAATATTTATATTAATTTTTGTAAATAATGTTAACATTGCTATAACAAGTATTTACATAACTGCTAAGAAGTGAATATAGCACAATGTATAAACTATAACTTAACAGCTCTTATACATACAGGGTACGTTTTCAATTTTCGGAGATGTATTTATTCTGTCTGATGTAGCTAAGTATTTTACCTCCTTGAAAATATATATTAAACTAGAACAATAAATAAATAAATGAAACAAAAGAGAACAGAAAAGAAAAGAATTTCAAAGCTGTAATACAAACTTTCAGTCTTTAAATCCATTTGTGATAGTGTGTCCAATCAGAAGAGATGAATTGTTTTTTGTTCTTCTGCATGCCAGATGTGCCAGACATTTAAATGGCGTGTTACCTCATGTGGTCTACATGGATGTATGCTGGACAGTTGTTTGTGTGTCGCTTCCCAAGTTGGCACAGGATTAACTAGCTAAAATGGAACGGAAGCACCTTCCTTTCCCTGCATCTTTTTCTTAGGAGTTGTTGACTTAGGGTTTTAACATCTGGCTTGAGATATTTATTTATTCATTTATTGGATTTATATCCTGCCCTCCCCTCAAGCGGGCTTCTGACCTCTATAAGTTTAGGATCTGTGACACAGGGAAACAGACAGACAGGCTTACTGAGTAGAATATGACATGCACAAACGCCGTCGGAATGACACCAGCAGTGCCAAAACACTACCCGATGGTACGGTAAAGGTTCCCTTGCTCAAAAGCCAGTTGAATCCGACTCTAGGGTTGCAGTGCTCATCTCTGTTTCAAAGCCGAAGAGCCAGCGCTGTCCGAAGACGTTTCCGTGGTCATGTGGCTGGCATGACTAAACACCAAGGCGCACGGAACGCTGTTACCTTCCCACCGAAGCGGTACCTATTTATCTACTTGCAATTTCTTGCTTTCGAACTGCTAGGTTGGCAGGAGCTGGACTAGAGACGGGAGCTTACCCCATCTTGCGGCACCCGGGTCTTGAACTGCTGAACTACTGACCTTCCACAGCCTGCAGTTCAGCGTCTTAACCACTTGAGCCACCGCAGCTCCTTGATGCTACAGTGCCTTCAACCAAATGCAAATACTCCAGACACCCACCAACGTATGCATTTGGTATCACCCAGAGACAGAGGACAGAGGAATTAGAGAAGGAAAGTAGAAGAGAAAGAGGTGGCTTGATTGCCTGCCTCTGCCAACACAACCCTGGTATTCCTTAGAGGTCTCCCATCCAAGTACTCGCCAGGGCCGGCCTTGCTTAGCTTCTGTGACCTGACGAGATTGGGCTTGCCTGGAATATCCAGGTCAGGGCCTTCTCCAAGACCTTTCTGAGACTTACACAGTGAGGGATCTCCACCTTTGCACATCAGTAAAATGTTTGGATTTGACAAATTTTCTCAGGATTCAGAAGCATGAGCCCACAAAGATGGTGTGTGCGTGTGCGGCACAGGAAATTTTTCTCTCCATAACTTGTAGCTTGGATGAGTTGTGGACAACGTTTCAGTAAATGCTGCTGTTTCCTGTGTTGTCGTCCCCCCCCCAATGCCCTTCGTGATGGGCTTCCACTTTTTCTATGGCTGCAATCCCAGCACACCCAGATGGATTTTCATATCAGCTGGAAGTTCTTCTTATATAGGGCATAAATAGGCAACAGATTCTAACAAGTGTCTTAACTCTGAACATTGTATTTGTAGAATGGGGTCTTCGTACATATCTATCTAACGGTCCTAATCAGGGGTCATTTCCTAGAAAAAGAGGTGCAGGAGTTCATTTGCATAACTCATTTGCATATGCCGCACCCCCTGACATGCGGCTGCAGGCCACCTGGAGACGATCGGGCAGGGAACCCAGGCATCTTCAGAATGCCTTTCTTTCCCTTCCCCAGATGGAAAATTTAAATCCCCCCCTTTCCTGAGTTTCTCCGCAAAAGCTGCGGAGAGGCTCAGGGGAAAAGGGGGGCATGTCTGCCCGCCTGCCTTTCCCCTCCCGAGCCAAACCGCCTGGGCTTGTTACTCCCAGAACCCCATTCTGGGTCATTCCCCCTCGAAATGACCCCTGGTCCTCATCACTACACAGGAATAATTTTGTTCTTAAAAAAGAACATAGCTGTTCAATTCCCATGCAGCATCTCTCCCCCTCCTACTGTGGACTTCTGTTCTCTCTAAAATTGTTGCCCGTGGGTTGATAGATCCCCAGGAATTTGGTGGTCCAAGTGGGGGGCTGCAGTGCTTGGGAGGCAAGATGAAGAATCAGTGAAAATTGCTTTCTTTCGCTTGTGCCTATCACAAAGAAAAAAGACGCTGAGGCGGATCCAAACCGTAATCTGCCCTGATATATTTGCTGCTTCCAAAAATACCTTCAGTGAAAGAGAAGGAAGAAATAGAATTGACAAGCAATTAGCGCCAGTGTAGCTTATGGTTTCCCACTATGGGAAGCACCAAATTACTGCCCTACGGCTTGCCCCGACGGTGCCAAATGGCAAGTGTCCAGCGGAGAAAAATAAAACCCAGCTGAACGCGGCATCCAACTGCATATGTATTAAAGTCCAAAATTCAGTTTGCTGTGCATGTTGGTTGTGTGTTCCCAAGAGTACTTTTGAAAGAGTACAGGCAGCCTTTCCACTTCAAGCAAACAGATACTTACATGCATCAAAGGAAATACGTCTTCCTAAGTTCTTTGGCTGCATCTGAAAATCTGCTCTCCGCTCGCCCAGTAGGATTTTCCTCCCGTTGACATGTGTTATCTTCAAGGTGATCTAGCGCTTCCTTTTCTGTGCGCCTTTACAAACTCTTCTGACATGGGAGGATATTTTGTTTAGAGTTCAAAACAGCAAAATCAGCTTCAAGAGGGAATTGAATAAACATATGGAGCAGAGGTCCATCAGTGGATATTAGCCACAAGGTATAGGTAGGACAGGAGCTGCGGTGGCTCAAGTGGTTAAGACGCTGAACTGCAGGCTGTGGAAGGTCAGTAGTTCAGCAGTTCGAGACCCGAGTGCCGCATGACGGAATGAGCTCCTGTCTCTATTTCCAGTTCCTGCCAACCTGGCAGTTCGAAAGCAAGAAATTGCAAGTAGATAAATAGGTACCACTTCGGTGGGAAGGTAACAGCGTTCCGTGCGCCTTGGTGTTTAGTCATGCCGGCCACATGACCACAGAAACGTCTTTGGACAGCGCTGGCTCTTCGGCTTTGAAACGGAGAGGAGCACCGCAAACCTAGAGTCAGATTCGACTGGCTTTTGAGCAAGGGAACCTTTACCTTTACCTATAGGTAGGACACTCTGTCTGGGGCAAGGGATGCTCTACATTCTTGGTGCTTGGGGGGGGGGAGACACAACAGTGGGAGGGCTTCTAGTGTCCTGGCCCCACTGCTGGACCTCCTGATGGCACATGGTATTTTTTGGCCACTGTGTGACAGAGTGTTGGACTGGATGGGCTATTGGCCTGATCCAACATGGGCTTCTCTTATGTTCTTATGTCCTTAAAATTGCCAAAATACTATTTCCTTTTTTAAAATGCCATTGCTGCTTCTATTAAAATGCCGAATCTTCATGGCTGAATGCATCTTTTATGTTATTCTTTCCCCCCCTAGATGGGGCCCATAATACACTACATCATGGTTAAGACACATTACTACACAGAATATAACTTACACTGTGGATTGGAAATGAAAGCGCGGAGCTTGTTATTCCTGTTCTAAGACGACCAGCACCTAACGATGCCTCTGTCCTTGAAATCTTTCTTCTCTGCAGAACAGCAAAAGGAAAAGAAGCAAATCTAAGCAGCATCACTACAGCAAAGATATGAAAGATAAAGGCGACGAGGCGGAAAAGGTGTCTCTGGAGTCCCCAGAACTGCACACCTGCCGTCTGAATGGCTGCGATAAGGAACCGTTTCCCAGCAAATCTGCCAATGAAAAATCTAAAGTGGTTCCTCAAGAGGAGAAGAGCTTGGAATGCAAAGATATGGGAGAGGCAAAACCAGAAATCGTAGGTCAGTGCACTTCAGAAAGGGCATGTGTGCTTCAGTCAGGCCTGTAGCTATAGTGGGGCTTTGGGGGGCTCTGCCTACTTTCTGAAAGGCACAGCCCCACAAGAATTTCTCCTATAAATGCTTTTTCCGATCATTTAAAAATATTTTTAAAGGCCTGCGCCCCTTTAAGCAGAGTGGGGTGCTGTAGTTGACTAATTCCCGCACTGAGCAAGGGGGTTGGAGTAGGTGACCTCTACGATCCCTTCTAACACTGGTCTCCTTTAAGAGAGTTTTTCTGCCTAAGTGTTAGCTTTCTGGACTATAGGAGTCATCACCCCCACCTGCTTGTTATCAGGATGGTTGCTTAGGCTGGCAGAAGTGATTAACTTGCAGCAGCTGAGAACTGTCATCTCAAGTGGTTAACAGCTTGCCTTTTAGAGATCTATCCTGGTAACAGCTTTCTCATGGGTAAATTGCTTTTCTTTCTGCACTGAGAACTTCGGCCCCACCAGGAAAAAAATCGCCCCACAAGTCACAAAATCCTGGCTACGGGCCTGGCTCCAGTGCAGTGTTCCCTCTAAGCTGAGTTAGTGTGAGCTAGCTCACAGTTTCTTAGCCTCCAGCTCACACCTTTTTGCCTTAGCTCAGGAAGGGATGGCTCCAGAGCAAAGTAATTTATGCGGCAGCCAAATCGCTCGCTCACAACTTTAATGCCAGTGGCTCACAAAGTAGAATTTTTGCTCACAAAGTAGAATTTTTGCTCACAAGCTCCACAGCTTAGAGGGAGCATTGCTTCAGATCCCGGTAAATCGTTCTGATGATGATTGCCAGGGTAGAGACAGCTGTTTGCTGTATTCGCTTTGACATATGGGGTCAGTTTGGCACAGTAGTTAGTGTGTCATAGGCTCTCAGCCCCACCTACCTCACAGGGTGCCTGTTGTGGGGAGCGGCGGTAAGCCGCTCTGAGACTCTGAGTGAAGGACGGGGCATAAATCCAATCTCCTCCTCCTCTTCTTCTTCCCAAAATTGGCCCTCTCTGGCAACACTGTCCTGAGCCAGTTTGATGTAGTGGTTAAGAGTGCACGCTACAATCTGGGAGAACCGGGTGTGATTCCCCACTCCTCCACATGCAGCTGTTGGTGTGACCTTGGGTCAGTCACAAGTTCTTTCAGCGCTGTTCTCAAGAGCAGTCCTGGAAAGAGCTCTCTCAGCCCCACCTACCTCACAGGGTGTCTGTTGTGGGGAGGGGAAGGAAAAGGAGTTTGTAAGCCCCTCTGAGGCTCCTTCAGGTAGTGAAGGGCAGGGTATAAATCCAATCTCCGCTTTACTTCTGTGATCACATGAGTAGTTTGGCCCAACACAGCCACTCCTCCCCTCCAAATCAAATGGGCGCAGTCACACAGCCACATCTGTCAGGTGTACCCCCAGCATACTCATCCCATCATAGGACAACTTGGAGCTGGGTTAAAAAGGCACCACATCACAAGTGGTGTTTTTGGTTCCCTGCACATTCATTGCGAATGGCCGGATGTCTGAATATGGTGGGGCATGCGTGGAACAGGTTTGGCAGTCTGAACCTGCAAACCCACCGCTAGGGGTTTTTTTTTAGTTTTTGCTTATATGCACATGTGCGCTCATGTACACTTATGCACGCGCATGTATGCACATATGGGTGCATGCATTTTGGAAAATTTCCAGGCAGTGCACTCCATGGCTGAGGTGCTGCAGTGATGTGGATGCTTGACCATGGGACGTCTGCGTGGGTAACCCACCGCAGGGTGTGCTGTCTGGATGGTATGCCCCGCAATTAGAGGTGGCACCATATCGCACCAAGCCTCCAGTGTGACCACAGCCATAGTGGGATCTGGGAGACCCCATTTCAGATCCCCAGTTGCTTGGTGGCCTCAGGTCATTCACACTCTTGATGCCTGTCCTACTTTGTAAGGCTGTTGTGAGGATAAAATGAGAGAACTAAGGAAGAACTTCCTAACAGTTAGAGCGTGAACAGGTTCCCTCGGGAGGTGGGGGACTCTCCTCCTTTGGAAGTTTTCAAACAGAGGCTAGATGGCCATCGGACAGCAATGCTGATTCTGTGAACTTGGGCAGATCACGAGAAGGGAGGACAGGAAGGGTTGCCTCAGTGCTTAGTTCTCGTGGCCCTGTCTTACATGCCCAGGGAAATGCTGATCGCCGCTTTTGGATCAGGAAGCAATTTTTCTCCAGGCCAGTTTGGCCAGGGATCCTGGAGGTTTTTTGTCATCTTCTAGGCATGGAGCTGCGGTGGCTCAAGTGGTTAAGATGCTGAACTGCAGGCTGTGAAAGGTCAGTAGTTCAGCAGTTCGAGACCCGGGTGCCGCATGACGGAGTGAGCTCCCGTCTCTAGTTCCAGCTCCTGCCAACCTAGCAGTTCGAAAGCAAGAAATTGCAAGTAGATAAATAGGTACCACTTTGGTGGGAAGGTAACAGCGTTCCGTGCGCCTTGGTGTTTAGTCATGCCGGCCACATGACCATGGAAACGTCTTCTGACAGCGCTGGCTCTTCGGCTTTGAAACGGAGATGAGCACCGCAACCCTAGAGTCAGATTCGACTGGCTTTCGAGCAAGGGAACCTTTACCTTTACCTTTAGGCATGGAACAGGGGTCACTGGGGATGTGGGGTGGGGAGGTATTTGTGGATTTCCTGCATTGTGCAGGGGGTTGGACTAGACGACCCTGGAAGTCCCTTCCAACTTGATGATTCTATGTCAACTCTATGCAAAGAGAGTAGATTCCTCCTCTAGTTTGGTGTCATGGTTAAGTGGGTGGACTCTAATCTGGGAGAACTGGGTTTGATTCCCCACTCCTCCACTTGCACCTGCTGGATGACCTTGGGCAAGCCATAGTTCTGGCACAGCTGTTCTTGAAAAGAGCATTTTCTGTCAGAGCTCTCTCAGCCTCACCTACCTCACAGGGTGTCTGTTGTGTGGGGGGGGAGGGAAAGGAAATTGTAAGCCGCTCTGAGACTCCTTTGGGTAGTGAAGGGCAGGGTATAAATCCAATCTCTTCTCTTCTTCTTCTCTATAAGCATGCTGACAATACATACCTATCCTGGGGGCTTTATAGATAGGTGGGATGAAATGTGCTTAAACAGCTTTCATTTAGATATACTTATAAGATTCCTGTGTAGATTTGTTTGCACATGTGCAGTTTCTGAACTTTTGGAGACACTAGATCAATAACTCCAATGTTCTTGTCCTTAAATCTTAAGCATGCACAAATACATGAACAGACTTTCTTGGGAGCCTCTTTTTTAATGTCTGAAGACCTTCTCTGCAAAATCATCTTTAAAGGTTTATATTGAATAAATACCAGCCCCGAAACAAATTTCCTTGATGCTTAAAGAGGGCTTTGAAGGTGCTGCCAACTTCTGGCTGACTTATATTATCCTAGCAGAACACAGCAGCCATGCATAACTCTGGTATCGTAAAGAAATCCTGCCCTAAAAGATGTAAGGGGGGAAAACCCACGCCCTAGTTGGGTGCAGCTCGCCAGCAGTCAACCATCCCACATGACAAAGATCCAAGAGCTGCTTTTCAAAAAAAGCACATAAATATGCCAGCATCTCAAATCCTTCCAAAACTATGCATAGAGCTGAAGTCTTGTGGTAGAGAACTACAAAGGATGTATTCAAGGCTGTTTACGGAGATATAGATCAAATGATAAAAAGCAGAGACATGACTTCAAGAGGGGCAGGCAAGATAGCAGTGTAGCCGATTGTTTTATTTTGTCTCATCAACCTATTAGGTCAGTAGTTCAGTTCTCTGTGGGAAACCTGTTGATATCAGACCACCTTCCTCTTTTTTTTAATTACAAGGATGAATGGTTACCTGCCTCTACAAATACGGAAGGATTTATACAATTATGACTCTGGGCATGTTAAAAAGGGGGAAGGAGGTGGCAATCTCTTTTTGGACCAAACGCTGGGGGAAAATTGCATCGTCTACCTATGAAGATTTTAGTGTGCTGCCAAACCAGTGCAGGAAGAGCCTGTATACCATTGGTGACTGTGCAGGTCTGGGAGGTGATGATGGGCACAAGCCATGCTTGTTGCCTTCTCCTGCACTGTTAAACACCTGTAGGAGGCCTATGAGCCGGTTATGGGAAGAGAGTAAGGGGGAAGGAGGTGGCAATCTCTTTTTTGGACCAAACGCTGGGGGGAAATTGCATCGTCTACCTATGCAGATTTTAGTGTGCTGCCAAACCGGTGCAGGAAGAGCCTGTAAACCATTGGTGACTGTGCAGGTCTGGGAGGTGATGATGGGCACAAGCCATGCTTGTTGCCTTCTCCTGCACTGTTGGCCCCAGCAGCACTACCATGGCCTTTTGCCATGGGGCTGAGAGAACTCTTTTGAGGACTGCTTGTGAGAGAACAGTTCTGAGAGAACTTATGACTGACCCAAGGTCACACCAGCAGCTGCACATGGAGGAGTGGGGAATCAACCCCGGTTCTCCCAGATTGGAGTCTGCGCTCCTAACCACTACACCAGACTTGAGAGGAGAGCGATGTAAGCCACTGTGGGTCCCTGTTGGGGTGAAAGGGAGGGTATGTAAATGAAGTAAATAAAGCTGAAAGAATCCAGATCAGCTTTTGTCCACAACCCACAACACTCCCACTGTGCTGCCATTTTCCCTTTCCTACACAGCACCTTGTGGCTGTTAGCGGTACAGCTGGCCATGATGAGTTTCACCAGAAGCCACGAGAACTGTGGGAGGGGGAATTATTTATTCATTTATTTATTCGATTTCTACCCCGCCCTCCCCGCTTACATAAAAATCAAGATAGATAAAACAGAACATTTATAAAACCATTAACAAGGTGCTAGTATGCCGTATTGCACAAATGGTGGCAATGCACAGTTATCACATCAATCGTAGTGGGTACAGTCAGCAGTGATTTTAGGACTATTGTCTCGGTCCAACGCTGGTTTCAATTTATGCCGGCGAGGCGCAGGTTTCCAATGATGGCTCCAAGCATAGGGTCTCAGGCCTGTATCCAACTACCGTGTTTCCCCGAAAGTAAGACATCCCCCGAAAATAAGACCTACTTACAGTTTTGCCTCTTGCTGAAATATAAGACATACCGTGAAAATAAGACTTAGTGCATCTTTGGGAGCAAAAATTAATATAAGACACTGTCTTATTTTCGGGAAAACACGGTATTAGGTGTGGCTCCTCGGTCGAATGCCTGGTGGAAGAGCTCCGTCTTGCAGGCGGATGCTGTTTAGATGCAGAGGTGCTGTTTTTACAGACATACATGATGATAATGTTAGGTACATATTGACGCAGACATGTACACTGCCTCTTCTCAGTCTATTGTGTGGGCATGGAATGTTGTAATGATTAGTGAGATGTCGTGACTGGTAATGCATGAAAAATAAAAGCCCTCCCATTTTGCGGTCTTGCTATCCACAGGGCCTTCCAGACTGGTGAAAGTCTAGTGCTGTGCTAATTTCCTGGATGAGATACGCACCTAATCCACTCACTGTGGAAGTGTCAGTTGTCATCTTTCTTTTAGGTTGTTGTGAAACGCAGACACCGGTGCTGAATCATGGACATTTTGCAGTTCTTTCCCCTTTTGGCCTTTCATATTTCTTCTCTTGAGAAACAGCTATTCGTTTTGATTTCCTAAACTAATAACAGTGATTCTGTTATGGATCTTTGTACCGTCACTACTTGACAGTTTTCAATGTGTTTTTCCCCCCACCAGGACAAAAGGCAGAACTCAAGAAAATACTTCTAGAGGCCGATCGAAAATTTGTAAATAGCACGGAGCTCCCAGATGCATCATTGTCCTCTCAACCCCAGTGCAACATAGGCAGGCCGAAGTCAAAAACATCTGCCGTTAAGCCACCTTTATCTGCTTCCCATCTTGAAATAAAACCAGAAGATTCACTGAAGAAAAGAGGTAGACAAGATCAGTTGTCTGGCTAATGCAATCCCATGTACAGACCATAGTGTTTCTGAAACATTTATTAGTTTGGTGCAGTGGTTAAGAGCGCGCGGACACTAATCTGGGAGAACCAGGTTAGATTCCCCACTCCTCTACATGCAGCAGCTGGTGTGACCTTGGGTCAGTCATGAGTTCTTTCAGAGCTGTTCTCTCAAGGACAGTTCTCGGGAGAGCTCTCTCAGCCCCACCTACCTTCACAGGGTGTCTGTTGTGGGGAGGGGAAGGGACAGGAGATTGTAAAGTTTGTAAACTGCTCTGAGACTCCTTCCAGAAGTGAAGGGTGGGGTATAAATCCAATCTCCTCCTCCTCCTCCTCCTCCTCCTCCTCCTCCCCTTCTTCTTCTTCTTCTTCTTCTTCTTCTTCTTCTTCTTCTTCTTCTTCTTCTTCTTCTTCTTCTTCTTCTTCTTCTTCTTCTTCTTCTTCTTCT